TAAAAGTGCAACAATAAAATTTGATCAAATTTAGTACAATAAAGAAAATGCGTATAGAATTATTGAAACTTGTGAAATATTAAATTCCATAACTATTTATAATAATAACAAGTAAAAACGCTTCATTCGGTATAAACTGACCGAATTATATCCTGTACGTTAGCAACCTGAGTTTAAAATTTGTTTTTGAAATATCTAGAATTAGCTCTCATTTTTATATACTCAGTACTCGAATCTGACAAACCACTCTATTAGAACTGCACAGATATGTCTGACCTATAATTAGACACACAATTGCCAAGTCTCATCAATCTAACTCTATTATTTTTTTGAATATTTTAAATTAGCTTTTGAAGTTCCATGGCTATCCAAACCTGTTAGGCCATTCCATAAAAACTTCAGGGATATGTGTGGGCTGATATTGGAAACACGACTTCCAAGTTTTATGAATCTTTGCCTATAATTTGCCAAATTATGAAAATTTGCTTTTATAGTTGTATGGCAGCTACCTGAATCAGTCAAGTCATTATGAAGCGTTTACACAGAACTTTTTATAAAAATAATATAAAATTATAATTTCACTTTTAAGTTAGCTTTCAAACGGATTAGGTTAATGAAAAGCAAATTCACAAATTATTTCCGTTTTACTCATAATAAAAGAATATAATAAAATTATAAAGTTGCTTTATTTCTGAAATAAATTTGAATTTTTTGACTTGCAAGTTTGATAAGAAATTAACTTATACGAACATATGTACTTCTTCTGCTTTACAGATATGATTCTTTGAAAAAGGTGGTAAGGTTTACAGATGCTGCCCATGCTCGGGCGGAGCAGAACTGGTGAACACTACATCGCCGTTTTATGACGCATTCAATGCAGCCGAGGCGGAGAGGAAAGCGAGGTTCTACTTTGGTCGTTATTTACGACCGAATGTTTAACAGGTGTGGAATAATCTGAGCCCCCATAAAGAGTTAAAGAGCTTTTAGGAAGCTCTGCGTATTCGTTATTTACCGCATAATGCAAAGGTGTCAACCTCAGATTATGAAGCCTTTACCAACATTTTTGTGCTTGGATCTACCAATGTTCTGTTTTTAAGATCAATAAATAGCCGAAACGCTCTAAAAAATCAGTCCTTAGTATAAGTCTACCTACCGACGCGATAATAAAAGCGTTTGAAAATTGTCTGCGCAAACCGATATTGAATTGAAGCAGCTTAGTACCGTAAGTTTAGATCGCGGTTCCATTTACGGGAGGAAGCGAGAAGTCCGAAGGCCTATTTTTACACCCAATGCTACGCCGAATTGATATAACAGTGACGTCAGCGTCGACTACAAATAAAATGTCGTTATTAGCGTTTCACGAATAAGCGGCATGAAGCAAAAAGCAATTCTCGTTATTAGCCGCGACGATAACGGTGCGATCTAGTTTAGATCAGAGAACCGACACTGTCCAACACATTTACCCGCGTCATACCTAAATTTTTGGTGGTAGCAATAAATGGATTGTCTAGACACGAACTTACTAAGATTAACATTTCGACTTCTGGAACGATTCCACTAATTTGATCTCGTACCTAATTTTGTTAATATTTCCTCGATATTAGCTAAACGATTTTTAAAATTTTCATTTAAATAAAAGTCAGAAGCCGGAGGAGACAAAAGATTTGCAAAAGGGGTCCGTTTGATGGACATTTTTTCATCGCTCGTCGGGGTCACCAATATAGCTTTTGCTGATATTAGCAGACCATTTTATTTTATTCATTTAAAAATTACAACAACTGGACCTTTAGTTAAAATGTTTTTATACCAGTACGAACGTATGTTCGAAGGCAACGAAATAATGGTCTGAGTATAGACTCAAGTGTATGTTTTTGATCAGTGTCAACGATAACTCAAAAACTAATTCATCTAAAACCACCAAATTTTCACAAATTATTTATTACTATTTAAATTGAATATGATCGGGGTACTAGTTCGGGTAGCTGCCACACAAACTTCAAATTTCATTTCGCTATATCTCAGAAACTATAAAAGGTAGGGTATTGAAATTTCACACAAACAAATATATTAGTAGAGCCAATGTGTCTGACAAAAGTTATTGAAATTGCTTGGCTCCTTCTGACGAATAAATTAGCAGGGCCAATGTATTAGACAAATATCGTTGGAATTGCTTGGCTCTTTAGCAGCCATACAACTCCAAAAGTTATTTGGCATTATCTCAGGACTTATTGAAATTATACTACAGAAATCTCGTCCGAAAAAGTGTATTATGAGGGCTGTTGTATGTGATAAAAATCATTGACATTTCTTGACTCGCTTCTCATACAAAATATTGAAAAATACAATATTGAAATTTTGCATAAACTAATATGGTAATACGGCAACTTAAAGTCATAGTCTGTCCCAATCTCAGTTATGGCATATTTATTCGCACAAATTCGTACCGGTATCACAAAGTTGACACGGTCCCTACACTTCGTGAAGGGTATATTAACTTTGGTATGGAGTTTGTAACTACTTAAAGAAGTCTTCTGCGGTATGGACATATATATATATTTTTGTTCAGAGTAAAGATCTGCATTGATTTAGACGTGTCCGTCCGTCCGTCCGATCACAAGTTTTTTTTTTTGTGCCAAGGACGAACCCTATTGTAATTGGGATAATTCGGACAACAAGCTCGGGCAGCTGCCATACAACTCAAAGAGTATATGTTGAATATTTCAAAAACTAATAAAGGTATAAATATGAAAGTTTGCATACGTGTGTCCAAGTACATTCTACATAAGCTCTGAAAATATAATGGCACCGGTTCTGGTGGCTGCCATACAACTTCTGAAGCAAATTTTTTATGTTCAGAAAAATAATAAAGTCAGATTCATGAAACTTAGCAGTCGCGTGTCCAATTTTAGGTCAAATATATTTCTGAAGTTTTAGTGTAATAACTTAACAGGTTCGGGTACCTCCAAACTCCAAACTCGGTACAACTCCAAATTCGATTCGATCAAAATTTTAAATATTCGGAAAAATAGTGAAGTGAGATTCATGAGCATTCATGCAGTGGTTGTTGCACTGGTCCCTTAACTGAAGGGTCTCGGGTTTAAAGTCCAGTCAGGTCACTATAAAAATTATATTCAATATTATACGGTAGGTTCGCAAGCTAGCTAGTAAACCCAATGACGTCAGAAACTGGTTCATGGTTATATGCAATAATCATAGACCAGCCCTATGCTCCTCCTAGAAGCGAAGTAGGTTAAAAAAAAAAAGATTCATGAAACTTGGCGGTTGTTTGTCCAATTATAGGTCAAACATGGTCTTGAAGTTTTGGTTCAATTACTTGTTAGGTTCGGGTAGCTGCCATAGGAGTCCAAAAGCTAATATTAAATATTTGGAAAAATAGTAAGGTCAGATTCATTAAACTTGGCGATCGTATATCCAATTATAGGTCAGACATATCCATGAAGTTTCTACAGAATGGTTTCACTGGTTCGAGTAATTGCTATACAACATTGAAAGGTGCAGGGTTTATTCAATCGGTTTATACCGACTGAAACGTTTAAATTTAACTTCAACGTAGCTTCACTGTGATTACTTTCATGTAGAAGAATATGTATAGAATTTCAAATCACTCTTTACATACTACAAAGAGAGAAAAATCGATTTTACATGTAATTAATTTTTCGAAATTAAAATTAATAAAATTATCCAGTTAAAACTCTATGACACTATGAAACTATTGCATGAGAAATCATGCACTAGCCCTATGCTCCTTCTACGAGTGAACAAAGGAAAAAAAAAAAATATATTTATAATCCTCCATATAATATATTAACATAAAGTAACCATTAGATAGTTATTTAAAGATTAATGATACATATGGCCTTAAGTTTTCGAGAAAAAGGTACCCAAAGTGAAAATTCCGAATATCTCCCATATCAATATTATCTTCAGTCTCCCATAGTTTGTAAAACAACAAAATATTTCAGACAAATTTTAATAAAATTTCAAAGAAATCCCTAAATTCTATATTTGAGTAGCTTTTTCTCGAAAACTAAAGGTCAGATAAGACATGGAACATCCCTCGGAATTGTACTTGGAAAGGAGAACTTGGACATGCCTCTAAGCACCCATAAACTGGTGTTACGCAAGACGGCAGTGGTGCACGCCAATCTCTGATGGGTAAATGAATTAACATTTAACGGTACCAGGAAGCTGTGGCCAAAGCTACACTTGCGTCGTTCAAGAGATCTGATATTGTCTGGCGGTAATTGTCTGATTAGCAAACATGCAACTAGGAAGATATTCCTTGGATGTTACTTCTTCAATTCCGCTGTGGACTTAGTGGACTCGGTCTTGTCGATTTGTAAGCAGTTCCAGCAGGTTCGAATGAGAGGTGGAAAAGGAGAGATCCGACGGTATACCCTTCGCGGGGCCGCGTTAACATAACCTAACCTAAACGACAGATATAACTGATCATAAAAAAAAAATATAAAATTTATTAATTATCTCTAAAGCAAGTGTCTAATGGTTACTCTTTGTTGACGAATTCTGAAGTTATTAGCATTTCTTTAACATCCTGTTTATTAAAAACGTATTTACACTGCATACAGAGGAATGCATTCATTATAAAATTTATGAAATTTAAATAGGTTAAACTTTTTTACTATGTAATGTGAAATAAAGCAAAAATATTCAAAAAAATTTTACGATGCAATGTGAAAAGACACAAGTGTATTCGCTATTTTTTTTTCACTGCAATGATGGAATTTCTTGAAATTTGATATTTCGGTTCTGGTTTTTATGGAAACTAACTGCTGAGCTTCTCTACGTATGTTAATTAAAAGCTTCCTAATTTCTTTAAAATTGAAGGGAAGTGTTCAAAATGAATTTTCATAATCTTCTGTAACACTTTCAATAAACCAGCCACTATGCATTGCCGTTGGTTGTTTTCTCACCACATCAGATTTTCTTATTCCTTTTAGTAATTTGAAGTTATTACTTACCTTGCTCCAAAATAAATGTAGTTTGCTAATTCGTTTGCACAAGATGTATAAAATCGCATGGCTGTACCCAAACCGATAGCAAAAATTAAAAGGAGACATGTATTCCTTGGCCAATTATATAAACTTAATATAATAAAGGGGGAAAAAAAAAATAGCTGTGTATCTATTCCTAAATGATGAGTATGTGTCAAGCACTGAAAAGATGATGAATTTAAAAAAAATATATGCTGGATGAATAAAAATTTTTAGTCTTGCCATCTCCCTGAAGCCAAAATAATTTTGAATAAATAGAAGTAATCTCCACCAGTAAGCTTTGCACAAATTGGCATGTGTTCCTACAACCAAATTCCATTGGGGACCGGAACCGATATGAGGCATGATAAAAGTGCAAAATAACATTAACGCTACTACAGGTGGTAATATCCTATTCAAATAAATGTTACCAATAAAAAACGAAAATATTTTATTATTATACCTAAATATGCGACTCATCCATTCCTTTTTTACATTAATTTTGCCTCCACGTTCTAGACTACCTAACATCGAGTAAGCTGTTAACATTCCACTAATCAATAAGAAGGGGTCTGTGTAGAGGGACGCAGCTCTTCCTATAACAGTCCAAGTTTTTCCTAAATTCTAATGTAAGAAAAGTTTAAGATTAAGATTTTTTTTTCTTTATTCGTCGAAATCTGAATTAGTTCGAACTTACTTCAGCTAAATATGTTCTATTCATAAAGGGATTGAAAAGTGCCGCCATAGATTTATGTGAAACAAGTAGCATAATGGCATTTACAAACCGTATTCCATGAACAGTACTTATATCATCAGAAGAAGGTGTTGTGTCCAATAACCACAGTATATTCTTCTTCAAAGAAAATGCAGTCAGAAACTCATCTAAAAAAACAATAAAATGATGTTTGTACATAAAAAGAAAAATTTTAATTGAATTAAAAGTTATAAAGCCTTGCATATTCTCTATGAGAATAGATCAACTCGTTACAATATACATAATATAAAATTTAATTATATATATATAGCTACTTCTCAGGTGGTAAAAAGTACGGGTACTTCTAGAAGGGCTAGAGACATGGGACAAAGGGCATTAGATAGAGTTTTGCCTCTAGGGTCCCAGAAAAATCTGATATTGGAACTTTTTAGCCCCGAAATAGCTCTATTTTAAGATTTTCTGAAAAATTTTTTGTATAACAAAAGCACGTTTTTCTTTTATACTTTTTATAATTAGAAACACAAACCAAGAAATAAATGATACGTTTTACGTTATTTTTATTATTAGAAACACAAACCGAGAAATAAATAATATTTGAAAATATAATGATCTCAAATATTTTTGGTTCGGATAAACGAATTAATCTTAACGTAAATAAATGTCAGCTTTTATCAGACATCAGATGTTTTGTGACATCTGAATATTAATATTTCATTTGTTATTGTTTTGAATATTATGTTTCGTCAGCAAGCTTAAAAAAATATACATACACATTTTATGTACGTATGTATCTACCTAAAATTTTATTTTTATTGTTAGCGAAAACCTGTAAAATGCTAAATTCCAATCCATTCATATATACATACACATATATATTCATATATACATACATACATATATTTTTACATACATAAATTATTATTTTGTTTTTGACTAAACCTTTTCTTTATTTGGAAAAAGCAATCCTATATGTTTACACACAGTTTAAAAAAAACAGGTATCCATTCATAATTATGTATGTTTGCATTTATAATTTTATTTCTAATTTTTCCAACAGCAAAATTTCAAAATTTTCGATTCTAATACATTCATATGTACATACGTTCATATGTTGGAACGAAAAATTTTAAAATCTTCAATTCAAATCCATTCATATATACATACATACATATATTCATACATATATACATACATATATTTTTACATACATAAATTATTATTTTGTTTTTGACTAAACCTTTTCTTTATTTGAAAAATTAATTTTTGTATGTTTACTCCCATGATTTAATAATTATGCGTTTAAAATTTATTTCTATATATTCTACAGTTTTGAATATTATTAAATTCATATAGAAAGCTTAAAAAAAATTATTCAGGAAGCTTTAAAAAAAAATATACATACATACATATTTATGTACTTAAAATTTTTGCGAATTTTTCCAAACTATTATAAGAATATTTTTTTGGAAATTTTCTTTAAGCTTTTATAATAACATTTATCTGTTATATATTAAAAAAAAAAAACACAAAATTTAAATAAAATAAAAAAAAAATTTTTTAAATAATCCAAAAAAATGAAAACACGACAACATCCAGGCAAGCATTGATCCAATAACCTTCTAACTATGAGACTACCACGCTAACCACTAGGCTACGCAGTACCTTGAATTTTCCTTTATAATTCTATATTTTATTCATATTTCGTATAACTCTTCAAAAACCATTCTATTTTACATTATATATATATAGCTACTTCTCAGGTGGTAAAAAGTACGGGTACTTCTAGAAGGGCTAGAGACATGGGACAAAGGGCATTAGATGGAGTTTTGCCTCTAGGGTCCCAGAAAAATCTGACATTGGAACTTTTTAGCCCCGAAATAGCTCTATTTTAAGATTTTCTGAAAAAATTTTTGTATAACAAAAGCACGTTTTTCTTTTGTACTTTTTATAATTAGAAACACAAACCAAGAAATAAATGATACGTTTTACGTTATTTTTATTATTAGAAACACAAACCGAGAAATAAATAATATTTGAAAATATAATGATCTCACATATTTTTGTTTCGGATAAACGAATTAATCTTAACGTAAATAAATGTCAGCTTTTATCAGACATTAGATGTTTTGTGACATCTGAATATTAATATTTCATTTGTTATTGTTTTGAACATTACGTTTCGTCAGCAAGCTTTAAAAAAATATATGTACATATAGAATATATGTATGTACGTATGTAGTTAGAATTTTATTTTTAATGTTCCAAACGAAAAACTGTAAAATGCTAAATTTTAATACATTTATATATACATACATATATTTGAATAAAATTATTATTTTGTTTTTGCCAAAACCTTTTCTTTATTTAAAAAAAATTACATTCATATGTACATATGTATATTTGAATACAATTATTATTTTATTTTAACCTAAACCTTTTCTTTATTTGAGAAATTTATTTCTATATGTTCACCCGCACTTTAAAAAACTAGATATACATTCATAATAACGTGTGTTTGTGTTAATAATTTTATTTCTAATTTTTCCAACAGCAAAATTTCAAAATTTTCGATTCTAATACATTCATATGTACTTACGTTCATATGTTGGAACGAAAAATTTTAAAATCTTCAATTCTAATCCATTCATATATACATACACACATGTATTCATATATACATACATACATATATTTTTACATACATAAATTATTATTTTGTTTTTGTTTCCTTTTTAATTTTCGATTCTAATACATTCATATGTACATACGTTCATATGTTGCAACGAAAAATTTTAAACTCTTCAATTCTAATCCATTCAAATATACATACACACATATATTCATATATTTATACATACATATATTTTTACATACATAAATTATTATTTTGTTTTTGACTAAACCTTTTCTTTATTTGAAAAATTACTTTTTGTAAGTTTACTCCCATGATTTAATTATTATGCATTGATCCAATAATATATTTTTACATACATAAATTATTATTTTGTTTTTGACTAAACCTTTTCTTTATGTATAAAATTCAATTATGTTTACCCACAGTTTAAAAACGAGAAAAAAAATAGAGTTGACCTTGTCAACTCTGTGATACCCGTACGAATTTGTTATCCTATGTGCGAATAACTAATGCGCCATAACTAACTATGGGGCAGACTATGACTTTAAGTTGCCGTATTACCATATTAATTTATGCAAAATTTCAGTACTATGTGTTATTCAAAAAACTGGTTGTGCCAAACTACTATTGATGTTGTATGGCAGCTACCAGAAAGAGGCAAGGAATTTTAGCGAATTTTATCAAGCACATCGGCCCTACTAATATACTCACTTGTGTGAAATTTCAATACATTTAATAGTTTCTGAAATATAGTTAAATAACTTTTGAAGTTGTACGGCAGGTACCAGAAGGAGCCAAGTAATTTCAACGACTTTTACCAGACACATCGGCCCTACTAATATATTCACTTGTGTGAAATCTCGATATCACAGCTTTTATAGTTTCTGAGATATAGCCAAATAACTTTTGAAGTTGTATGGCAGGTACCAGAAGGAGCCAAGTAATTTCAACGACTTTTATGGGGCATATTGGCCTTACTAATATATTCGTTTGTGTGAAATTTCAATACCATAACTTTTATAGTGTCTGAGATATAGCCAAATAAATTTTGAAGTTGTATGGCAGCTTTCTGAACCGGTACCCCGATCATGTCCAATTTAAATAGGGTTCTGGCACTTACTACAATAAATCATTTGTGAAAATTTGGTGAACTTAGCTCAATTAGTTTTTGAGTTATCGTTGGGACGGACGGACGGACGGACGGACGGACGGACAGACAAAGCTAAATCAACTCAGAATTTGACGCTGATCAAAAACATACACTTGAGTCTATATCTAACACCGTTATTTCTTAGCGTTACAAACGGTAAGGCAAATTTAGTATACCCTTCGAACATACGTTCGTACGGGTATAAAAAAAGGTATCCATTCATAATTATGTATGTTTGCATTTATAATTTTATTTCTAATTTTTCCAACAGCAAAATTTCAAAATTTTCGATTCTAATACATTCATATGTACATACGTTCATATGTTGGAACGAAAAATTTTAAAATCTTCAATTCTAATCCATTCATATATACATACACACATGTATTCATATATACATACATACATATATTTTTACATACATAAATTATTATTTTGTTTTTGTTTCTTTTTTAATTTTCGATTCTATTACATTCATATGTACATACGTTCATATGTTGGAACGAAAAATTTTAAACTCTTCAATTCTAATCCATTCAAATATACATACACACATATATTCATATATTTATACATACATATATTTTTACATACATAAATTATTATTTTGTTTTTGACTAAACCTTTTCTTTATTTGAAAAATTAATTTTTGTATGTTTACTCCCATGATTATTATGCGTTTAAAATTTATTTCTATATATTCTACAGTTTTGAATATTATTAAATTTATATAGAAAGCTTAAAAAAAATTATTCAGGAAGCTTTAAAAAAAAATATACATACATACATATTTATGTACTTAAAATTTTTGCGAATTTTTCCAAACTATTATAAGAATATTTTTTTGGAAATTTTCTTTAAACTTTTATAATAACATTTATCTGTTATATATTAAAAAAAAAAACACAAAATTTAAATAAAATAAAAAAAAATTTTTAAAATAATCCAAAAAAATAAAAACACGACAACATCCAGGCAAGCATTGATCCAATAACCTTCTAACTATGAGACTACCACGCTAACCACTAGGCTACGCAGTACCTTGAATTTTCCTTTATAATTCTATATTTTATTCATATTTCGTATAACTCTTCAAAAACCATCCTATTTTACATTATATATATATAGCTACTTCTCAGGTGGTAAAAAGTACGGGTACTTCTAGAAGGGCTAGAGACATAGGACGAAGGGCATTAGATAGAGTTTTGCCTCTAGGGTCCCAGAAAAATCTGAAATTGGAACTTTTTAGCCCCGAAATAGCTCTATTTTAAGATTTTCTGAAAAAATTTTTGTATAACAAAGAACGTTTTTCTTTTATACTTTTTATAATTAGAAACACAAACTAAGAAATAAATGATACGTTTTACGTTATTTTTATTATT